TTAGAATATTATAATTTCTTTTAATTAAAATAACAAAACAAAAATCTAAATAACAAAACAATTATAATATGAATTATCAAATAAATTTAATATTTTTTTTGTAAATTGAGTTTATATGAAATAACAAAGAAATATGTTTTTTATATAGAAATGCGCTTTTTTGTAATTTTTCTTTTACATAGATTAAAGATTTTTAACTTAAGAAAAAAATTTAACAAGTTAAAGTTTATATATTTTAAAAATAATTAAATTAGTTAAAGTTATAAATTAATTCATTTAAAATTAACTAAGTTAAGTTAAAAGTTAACTTTGTAACTTTATGAGTTAACTTTTAATTTTTTAATTAATTACTATTTAATCCTCGATCCAAGTAAGCTGATTTATTCGTATATACTTTAAATCTTCGAATTGAAAATATTTTCGAGTACTCACTGCTAGTGATGATTGTTTCCATTTCGTCGAGCATCCGTGACAATGTGCTAGTGAATGCCTTGCCGTTTGTTGAGAGGAGAGATTTATGTCTCGTAGTGCAGTTGATTAGTAATTTCACTGAAGAACGTACATACATTTGTCTCTTTTTCAATGTGGTAGGATGAAAATGTTTTACTGTGGGATCATAGGCTGCTGCTATCTTCAGTAAGCTGTATATAACATTATTTTTATAAGCAATGATTTTCTCTTACACTGTAAATAATACTATAAATTAGGCATACTTATTAATAGCTGTGTCGATAGGATGAGTCTGGTCCTTACCCAGACATAGGATCACCCTGGGATCGCAACTCATAACATGCCAATTAATAACTTGATCGTATGCCGCGGCATCGATTAAGTGCCAAGAAAAACTTTCGGCTTCCATGACTAATTGCACTGCTTTTTCGTTCTGAAACATTAATTGAGCCTTTATTTCGCTTCTAATATAAATATTTTAGCAGGTTTATATTTTATTTTTCAATCTTAAAAGTTATTCGATCTTTTCAAGTTTAATTTCTCGGATGTTTCATCTTTCAAATTTTTGAATTATGCTCTTTTCTCTTACCTGTCTGACATTTGGTTCATTCGACAATTTCACTAGCAAATTCAGTAGACAAACGTGCATTCTGGCAGCGATCGGCAATGCTTGCGTGGCCATTAACTCGCCGATCCAAGCAGTCCAATTAATCCAGGTAAAGATACTTCCTAAGAATAAGTGACAGTCTGGCAGATATTGATCAATCACCTTGATCATTAATTCGATGTCGTTGATAGACGGGCAAAAGTGATCCCAAGGAAAAGACAGCATGTTACCGTGCACGACATTCAGTACGTGGTCCTTAACGGCAACATGAGCATAATTGGATACATAAAACTGCCAAACGAAGCTGAGAATCTTGCTGGACGCCGGCATGGTGTCAATGATGAAACGAATGCACTCAGCGAACATGGCCATCGTCCGATTCGCGTAAGGGCCGTCAGTGATAATCCATGGTAGCAGTACTGATCTGTCATCTGTCAATTGCTGGATCCACGCGGCTGTTGGTTCTCGCAGATTCCTTGTCCAATACGGAGTGATCCATGGGGCATACATCTCGCTCAATACTGGCCAGATCTTCTCACATACTGGGAGAACATGTGCGATGGATATAGATGATTATATAAATTCTTTAAATCCGAATAGTTATGTAGCAATTTAAGATATTTGATATTTCAAGATTTTAAATATTGACTTACATTGATCGGCGAGCGATCCTCTGTCAGCCTGTAGTGTCAATACAACCAGAGCATGGCCGACCATACCTAAAAATATGGTCAAAGGCTCGTTGTAACTTCTATACTTCGGATAAAGCCCATACAATCCATATTGCAATCTTTCTTTCATGAAATGTCGGCTCAGAAGCACAGCAGTATCATGCATCTGAAATTGTATAAAAATGTTATGGAATCTAAATCTATGAAGTCTTTGTTTTATTATTACACATAAAATTAACGGAATATGCTTTTTTTTAATACAAACATAATTATAATATCCAATAACGAAATTATTTGTGGATTACCTCTTGGCGAGAAAGCAACTTTTGTTCTGTGGCATAGTGTCGGATCTCATCCCGGATTTTGGGAAAATTTTGAGAGGGCGCGATATTTCTCGATTTGCCGCTGAGAGCTCCTAGCAAGTCGCGCCACACATCTAGAGATAGATTCTGGCTCTCGGATCCTCTTAGCACTGCGCTCAATACCTCACCATAGTGTTCGGGGAATTCATGCAGAAGAATGAGTCGTAGATGATTTCGAAATAGCTACATCATATATCATAATTTAACCTGCGCTTTTTTTTAAATGAAAACAAATATGACAACGTTTCAATTCAAACTGAATTGAACTTATTAAATTGAATTGATTGTCTTCTGGAACTAAAAAGATTACTTACTTCATGTAGCATCAATTTCTCTTCTTCAGGATTCAAGCCAATGTTGCATAAAGCTCTAGAAACTAAATCTATGAAGGTAGATCTTTCGCTCAATCGCGGACGACGATAATTCAACCAACTGCTGACGTCAAACTACAATAGAAATAGTAATAATCCATTAGCCATAATCAGATAAAAAATTATCAGAGATGATAATTTAATTTAGTGTTTACCTTTGAGAGCAACACGAAGCATAAGTCTACGTTGGATCCGGTAGACAAATCTACGACGGTTTGATACATCTGCAAGAATGTGGAGGCTCCTCCGGCAACGGGAGTAAAGTGTGGTCCCAATAGGCCTCCGAGATTAGGTTTCTGGATGATGGTGCTTAATAATTGCGGACCCTGAGTCTCTTCGCCACTGATAAACAACTAGGAGCAGAATAGTTTTTTGTATTCGAGAGAAAAATTTTTAACATTGATTAATACAGTTATCATGTAGTTAATACAGTTTAATATTTAAATTTTCAATTTTTTTTCTTTTCGAAAATGTGGCAATTTGTGTTTTATCTCACAAGTTTGTTTTGTGAGAAAATAATATATAATCTAAAAAAAGATTAATGAATAAATATATAAATTTATATTTAATTTATTAATTTATTAAATTTCTTATATTTAGTTTCTGTTAGACATTAAAAACATTAAAATTTAAGATTAATATGTACCTGGCCTAACTTTTCCAAGCATGTAGTGATAAGTTGTTTTGTGGGAGGACATAGCGCTGCTTCCTCTGTATAGAATTCTATTAGGTGATAGAACAATTTGACTCCGCTCTTTTGTACTTTATGAAGTACCGCGGTGTTTTCGTTAGTGCGACTGACAATTAATTCATGCTCCAGCATCCTAAGTAACGAGGACAAATTTAAAAATAGGAGATTTAATAAAAAAAAATGATGGTTTATTTTATTGTTAGCAATAATTTTGTTAGCAGATAAAATATAAAATTGTGCACATGGCATGTATACATTCCAGGATTAAAATATGTCAATTAAATCTGCTTACGCGATCAAATAATCGATGAAGACGCAGCCTACAGTGACTTTGCTGGGTGGCGGTTGACTAGCTTTCACCAAGAGATTCTCATACTCCGCCCGATTCTGGGTTATCATATGGTCTACGCCTTCATTGACATGCGCTTCCTCAACCTATAAAGCAAAATTTCTCTGAGAAATAATTTAAAAATTATATCTTTAAAAAAATACTATATATGACAAAATATATTATATTATACTATATTTCAAAAAATATTTAATTAATTTATATAGTTATATTTATTTTGTATTATATCAATAAAATATGTTTAAAAGCTTATTTGTTAAGCTTCTGTAATTTAATCAGAAGAGATAGTATGATCTTTGACAAGATTTTTGACAAATAGTATATTTATAAATCTTGTAATATTTAATTTTCTTTACTGTAATATCGATGATCGCAGGACCTGCGCAGTGTACCGTGGGAGGTGTGCCCGATCTAGTGCGCCTCTGGTTAGATGGCACAGAGTCACAGAGAGCGTATAAAGTAACATGATTTTCGTAAATCCGATAAAGAGTTGGGATTAGTTCAAGAAAGCTGCAATCTACCGCGATATGCTCAGATACCATCAGATTATAGGTTTGCGCGTAATCAAGGATGACTTTGAGATATGGTTTGACTAAGTCAATAACGGTAGCGGAGTTGTAGAGGCATTCCCTAGCTATGCAGGCTAGCACTGGTTGATTTCGATTCAATGGCGGCGGTGGAACCGGTGGTTCATAGGAATTCAGCCTGCGGAAGATTTTGCAGAGAGGATCGATCGATTCTACGACGTTTGACGAAGGTTGTAAAAATTTCTGATATTGATTCTCGGAATCGCGGAACGTTGTACGTTCCCACTCGTAAACAGCCTTTAACTGACTCTGTTCTACTGCCCAATAATCGATGTATTCCAGCCAAAGAGTCTGGAAGTTAATAATTGATATTATCATTAATGACATTATTACACATTAAAATCAATTGTGAAGACTTCATGTAATTGACTTACTCGATCTCCTTGCACCAGTAAAATTAACTTTTGCGACATGTACTGTGGTGGCAAGGCTGGAAGATAAAGTCCTGGTTCCTGAAGTCGAGGTTCTTCCAGCCACAGAGTCAACGTTTTGTAAAACCTACGATAAAATTTTTTTTCATCCTTTCTTTCTATTAATATATATTTACTTACTTTGCAACACTGATGTAAAATACACGCCGTTCATCTGTCATCGGTTTTTCATTATCTGTATCTTTCTCTCCTTTCGCTTGGAAATATTCTGTCGTCTCGTGCAACCGTTTTTTCAATTTTTTTAAATAGCTTAAATTTATCATCCCTTCGAAGAATTTTTCTCCAACCCCACCTTTGTCCATAGATCTAGAACAATTTAAGATAAAGAAATAAGTTTCATATGCTTAACATATGATCAAAAGCGAGTGTAGCAGTGTAGTAGACAGCGCATAATATGCTAAAATCAGGTTGGAGTCCTGGCAGAGCCAAAATATTTTCATACGCTCGTGTCTGCTCTCGAGTCTGGCAAATCACGAGGGTATTTTCTCTCACAGAACTTTCAAATTTGCCATTCAATGTAAATCCCATATGCCTGTGCATCATCACCTACATCACAGGCATATGAGAATGAGGTAGAAAGGGCTCTAAGAGCCTATACGAAAGTAATAGAAGAAGAAGAACATATGATTGTAAAGTTATTCTAGTGAGATAACAATAATCACCCCGGGGTAGTAGGAGTTCGTGCTAGGAATAAACAAAAAAATTTTGCCACAAGAGAGGCAAAATTGGATGATCCATGGGTGTATCAAGAGCTTGTTGAGACCAGCGATAGATAGCCAGGTTGCTTACTCCAAACGGTGTCATCTTAACTGTTGCACAAGCTCTCTAAAACAATTTTTATAATAATTATAATTTTATATTGAAATACACGCAAAAGTAACAAGCTTGATTTTAAACCTTGAGCGCAGTGTCTAAAGAAATCTTGGATTGCATAGATAGTTCCCGTAGAATTTCGCGCCATAATCCGGTTTTAAGCTCTCTATCATATTGCTCAATTGACAAGATTTGATAAGCAAGCCATATCATTTGAATGGTTCCACCCAGAAGACTTGCTGAGTTAGAAGATCCTGTTGCCCAACTTAAAAATGATCCAAACGATCCCGGTGCTCGATTGGATGATATATTCTAAACGTGACATAACTAAATGTAATTATTAAGTACAGTATATATAAATATTTTAATTGCAATGAAGCATTTTTTATATTATTATTAAATTTTGTGTGTGTGTGTTTATTTTTTTTATAATTTTTTATAAAACAATTTTTTATTAGTAAAATATGTATTAACTTGATTAATTAAAAAAATAGAATAGATTAGATAAATTAAATCTTATATTGGTATAATTCATACCTCATTAATTCCGTCTATAGCAGGCTAAAATTAATATCTTATTAATTTATATAAAGTAGAAAAATATTCAATTGTAAAATTATAATTATTACGATGAAAAACTGTCAATTTATTATTTAGCTTTTTATACAAAGTAACCACTATATTTTTATATAAAATGGCTAATGTTTTCTTTTTGTTTTTGTTTTTATTTTAGAATACTATAGATGATTAAATTATAAAAATTTTTGGAAGCACTTACATAGACGAGATTTTGAAACATATTCTCCATTGTCGCCCTGGTTTCTAAATGAAAGAACGCTACACGGATTACATTGTCTATCAAATACATCACGCTATAATCTTTATTCCAATCTTGGACGAGTACCAATACATTTAGCCATAGATGCACGAAACGTTCTGAATTGTTTAAGCAATACCTACAATTGACATATAAAAATTGTTATTTTTAAATATCTATAACTATATTAATTTAATCTTCTGTATTTATATTTCCTTTAAATTATTATATTATATTATTTCTTTAGTATATAGAGTGTCCGATCATAACCATATATCTCTTGTGAGCAAATAGAATGGATATTAAATTGAAAAGTCCTCTATCTTTTTACGATTTTCACAATAAATAAAGAGATTTATTAATTTATACAGATCCGATGAGCATTTGCGCGAAGGAATAGCCCAGCGCTACGCCGTTTACTGTTGCTAAGCGCGCGACAAGATGTTGTTTAAATATGATCTACAAATAATAGAATATTTGTTTATAGTGCACGCCACCAACATATTGTCGCGTTCCTGATAATCGTGTGCATACATAACGCCGGGCTGGCTTTTGGAACGAAAGTTTGTTCATTTGCGAATAAATTAATAAATCTTTGTATAAATTAATAAATCTTTAATTATTGCGAAAAATGGTATAAAATTTTTCTATTCAATATAACTCGCTCTACTTGCCCACGAGAAGTGATGCGATTATTATCGGATATTCTATATACAGTTAGCTTTCTTTTGTGTTAATTTTTTTTAAGTAAAAGATTTTATTCTTCTTAATTTTATATTATTTTGTGAATTTAAAATATTTTCTTTACACTTACCGTTTATAATGATACAAATGAGATTCGATCATGTTTGAAAATTGCCTAAGAATTGGACCAGGAAATTCCGGAGCGATTAAGTTCTTCGCTATCTTCATATATGTTCGGTCGGCGTTAATAAGTGGCACAATCAGGCTGATAAATTTGTCGTTCTTTAACAAAGAATCCGGACATTCAAGGAACAACGGTATAATATGATACAAACATATTAGCACTTGTTCGTATTTATAATAGCATTGCAAGGTTTGCAATTGGCTGAAGCCTTCGGCACAAATCAACGGCACTGAATGACCCCACAGAGTCATCAGCACCGAAACATAGCTGGCAATTGGTTGCCTTTCGCGTATTCCTTTCATCAGAATCTCTAAGAAAGAATCTGATTCTATGTTAGGTACGCAATAGAGACCCTCAGCCGGATTTGAGATGGTATATTGACAAAGGGATTCCGATCGGTCTAACTGGTGCAACTTCAATCTGTTTATCATTTCCCAAGCCCACAAGCTGAACGCTTGCTCGCTGTTCTGAGGTCTTACCATTGAGGAAACCTGAAATGAAAAACAGAAACAGATTTAAGTTTAATTTGCTATTAATGCTATTAATGCTATTAATATTATTAATATACAATATGTTATCAATGTACATATTTTGTTAAGGACAAGATTGGAAAGTTATATACTTGTAATATCGTTATCATTACAATTACTTTTTTTTATAACAAATTAATAGCGTTACTTTCTTAATTCTAATGGTACGTAATAATATCTTTTCAGTAATGAATTTAATAGTTATTTTTATCGTTATTCTTTTATATTGAACGTATTTATAATATAATTTTTGTATAATATTTAGTCTTCAATCGAAATTTAATTCATTATTACATTTAAGACGTCTTAAAAATATTTTATCATCATAATTACAAAGTATTAACACTTTAAACTTTATAAATGTCAGCCTCACAAAATTTGTAAACAAAAGTAGAGATAGAAAAGAAATATAAATTTGGCTGTGAAATAAATTTAGTGAAAACTATAATCTTTTTATTTGCATTTTGGATATTTTAAAATCTTTCTTCTTAAATTTTTTAATCTTGTGAATTTAAGATAAAAAGTTTTATTATTTTTACAATAATGATAACAAGTTACTTTTCAGAATCAACAACTAATAACTAGTTATTTTTAAAAAATAAGGAGTATGTAAAATTAGAAAAATTAGAAAATTTAGTGATACAAAATCAATCATCATGAAACTTGACACACAATACGAGGAAAAAAATAACTGTACCACAAAATTTTCCCAATTTTGCATACTCCTTTCTCAATTTTGATGAAAGGCATAATAATATAATCGTTCTCAATATTACATAGTATAATATTAACTATAATAACTAAAAAACTAAAATTAATATAAAATTGATATATAATAATAAACTAATAATTGATAAAATATTGATACAATATTTAAATAAAAATGGCTGTTTATTATTTCTGTTCTAAGTTTTTCTCTAGATGACAACTCACTTGCTTTACACCTTCGGCTAATAATGAAGCTGTTTGTACTGGGGTATCAGGTACATATTTCATTGTAAGTTCGACAATCAGTAAGGCCACTTGTCGATGTAAATCGATTGGAAGATATAGATCATCATTTCTATAAAAGAATATTGATCACACTTTAATTAGTAACTATAAATCATTAATTTTGGATTTATAGTTTCGATAATTTATTGAAAAACAAAGAAGATCTTATTTATCGTTTATATCTATCATGAAATGCATAAGCAAATATAGACAAAAAGTATAGAATAAATATATAGATTTGAGATAAAATAAAAGAGATGATATGAGATTTGAGATAAATTTGAGACGAATTAAGATGAATTAATATATAATTAAAAAATTGTTTTTATAAGAAAAAAATTTATTTTTAAAAAATATTAGAAATATTAAAATAACTTACGTGTTAAGGCCCCAATTCAAATGTGTAAGAATTAATCGAGCTAGATGACTTTCAGATGAAGTTAAAGGATGTTGATGCAACCAAGTGGACAGAATTGCTATGTCTTGTTGTGGTATCCACATTTCTATTTTCAATTCAGTGAACAAATATAAACTCAGCTAAAACCATTAAAACAATCATTGTAGAATTATTGTTATTACATATTCTCATTAAATAATAATTATTGTTATATATTATCTAATATTTTTTAAATAACTGTACAAAAAATATTAATGAAATTAAATATAATTAAAATCGATTACTAATACACAAATAAGAGATTTTGTATACTGTAGTAATAGAATTTGAAAAAAGAAAATTTAGAAAATGCATTGTATAGAGAAATATCAATAAAACAAAGTGCTTATTATACCTTTCCAACTGATACAAAATTATCCTTCAATTTTTGCAAGATATCAGACAAGAGAGTAGGATATTTGCTCGTCAAATTTGATAAAAGCGATCTTGCATCCTTTGAGCAAGATTCTTGAGTTTTCTCGCTGAGAAATCCAATCTATAATTCAATTTATGAATTAAATTCAAGAGATGAGTTTTAAATATAAAATATATAATTCAGAAATATTTGTAAGATGTAAATAATTTTAAGTTTCTTATTTATTTGTTAAATATCTGGTTATTAAATTGTTTGACTAATTACTCTATGAAATATATTTTTATTAGCATACTTGAAACAAATCAATTGTGGTTGTTCTCACAAAATCATAATCTTTATAGCCTCTAGCCATGGCCATATTAGCAAAAGTTGTTAATAGAAAGTATGACTCATCACCGGGCATATTGCCTAGCTTTTCTTCGAACTGCTCATGAAGTTCAGGGCAACTCAGTTTCCTTTCCCAATCTGCAATATCAAATTGTTGTATAACAATTATAAAAAATAAATTAAAGAATAAGTTAAAACAAATAGCAAAATATTGAAACAATGCATGTTTTCTTTACAAATTTAATTTTATCATAATTTATTCACCAGAGACTGATGTATCTAATGTTGTTATGTCACCAGATATGGAATCGGTATGCAGAATATAAAAAATATGCCATAGTGTAGTAGATGATATAATATGGTATGGTAGTGCGGCAAGATACTGCCAGGCACCTAACCGTCGAGATGAAAATATACAGAGAATCGCTTTTAAAAAAAAGCAATCGTATTCGATCTGAAGTTTCAGCAGCATCGACTCATCGGTTACCTGAATAATTAATATCACTTTTAAAAAATGACTAAATATATAATATTGAAAATTAAAAAATTGTGAAAAAAGTACATTTTTTTTTAAATTTTCAATAAATTAAAATAAAATTGATTAAAAAACTGATAAAAAAATTAAAAAAATGTATTTTTATTTTTGATTTAATATTAATCTACAGAATTCTGTATATTTATAGATATTTCGGTTCTACGTACTTTGCTCTTATCAAAAGCCTCCCATTGATCACTGGCGTATTGAACGATGTCTCTGATCAACGCACTGAGTCTCTTAGCTAATTGCCTATATCTTGGAGAATCATAAGATCTTAGACCTTGTTTTAATAGTTTGATGAGCACACCATAAAACGCAAAAAGACGCAACATGTGATGATCCGTGATGGCATTCCCTTCTTGCTCGTACTTGTCATTCTGACGCTGAATAAACAGTACCTGCTCAAAGAGTCTGTCTAGTGGAATTTGATGGAGAAGAGAAATCAGGTCACTTTCAAAAAGATTGGCGCCGATATTAGCAATATCTTCGTCTTCCTCGCCCTCTTCGTCTAACATTACCCATACTGTATCCTCTGGGCTGTTTGTAGTATCTTGCAAAGATACCTGTACCTATATAAAAAATTTAATTAGAAATTTGCGAATTTATAAAATCTATTAAAGTATTTTGCTGATTTCCTAAAATGATCAATGTTTTGTCTTCAATTTTACCTGTTCCAAGAATTTATCCCGATCCTTAATCGGTAGCAGAATTACTGCGAGAATAACGACCATGTGATTAAGATATGGATCATTGAACGGCGAAGAGCTTAATCCTGAGACTTTTGGCGGAACTGGCACTTGCACGAAGTATTTCGCCCAATTCATCACACCACCGGGACATCGCAATATATGATTCAGCAAAAACAAATGATCCTGCCAAGTGGCAATCCTCAAAAGCACTGCAACTAGTTTCGATAACCATTCTCTAGTGTCTGTGACGAATTTGCCATCTTTGAGAATTCGACGCTGAAAATTGAATAGAACAGTTATGCACATTCTAAGCTCCACTAATTGTGGGGTTATCTGGAATGGTGATTGCTCTGGTAGAAGATTCGCTGGGGCAGTTGGTAAAAGATTAGCAAAATCCTACAAATAGAAAAAGATCTGAATAAGTTTTAAATTGCAAAGAATCAATTATATAGATTATACACAATTATCAAATCTCTATGTAGAATTATTTGTTTAGCTTAATTTTTTATTTTAAGTCTGTTTTATTTTAATTAGTCTTTTTAATTTTAAATTCAATAAATTTTTAGATATTTAATAGTTTAACAACTTTATTTTAATAAAAGGCAACTCACGTTAAAACTCCTAGTGACTCTCTGCACATAATGTTCAATTTGCAGACGCAGCGATTCTGCCTCATAGCAGTACAATGCCTGGCTGTCATGTAGAGTATCCTTGATTGCCGATAGCGTCTTGGAGAGTGCTACTAGTGCCTGTTGGTTGAAATGAGCGACTGAATACTCGTGAGTAGCAGTGACAGGATTGCCATCCTGGCATTCACCGCTTTCCGTCTCTGATGTTTTCTCTAGACACCAGAGCTGCTTCTGTATCTCCCGGCAATTCTTTTTCAGATGCTCTAACTCGTATGACTTTGCGATCAGATGATTCCGTACTCTCAAGTAGCTCATCAACAGCTCATGCAGTCTGTGCTGTTGTCTCAGTGGTGCGCATCTCAACTGTGTCTCTGTAAACTCAGTTATGAAAGAATCTACCAACATCAACTCTTGGTTCTGATACAAAGATGCCAGTTGCTGTTCTGTAAATGGTTTCACATTCTTGAATGCATTCGCTATATCTTGTTTGATCTCCAAAATTTCTATTTGATTTGACAAACTCTGCTGGCATAGAATATTTACTTTGGCCATATCTTCTTGAACTGTTTGACTGACTTTTTCTGAAGTAGTCGGTAATATATTTAGTTGAATTAAAGACATGCCTGTTTGTATCTGATCTATTTGATTGTTTGAAGCATTGTCAGACACCAGACAAGGTTGAATAGTGTCAACTTCATCATGAGAGTTTTTAGCCAATACCTGAAAAATATACATATTAATATTTCATATAGTTTCATCTATCATTTAGTTTTTATCCATTTTTAAAAACATTCTCTTATATCATAAATATATCGTTATATATCATAAATATATTAAGTGTTTTATTATTGAGTAAAGTACCTCATTTGTTGTTTCAACTTGTTGATTATATTTCTTCTCATGAGCTTCTTTCTCAGCAGTCTGCTTCTCGTAAACTTCCGTATCGATAGCAGCTGAATGTAATTCGCTCTCTATATCTTCTACAGCTTCACCTTTGGGATAATTCGTAGGTGATTCCCCAAGCAGACACTCAAATTCCTCCAGTGTAGGAGCATCTGGTATTTGATGCTCCAGAATCAAATGACGTAGTTTATCCCGTTTCTTTTTCTAAAAAAATAAAAAATTTTTAAATGCACTATATAACTTATATAAGGAAGATTTGTAACTTTGAGACATATAAAACTAATAGTCACATATACACGCACACGTGCATGTTGTATGATGTATGTATAGGTATGAACATACATATATACATATATATATATATATATAAATTATTAACTTATAATATCAATAATTGTTATTAAAAAGTTTATTACTAAAGCAAAAATAAATAAATATACATGTATAAAATATATATTTTCTATATTAAAAAGATATAAAAAAAATATTTTTGATATATATAAAATACAAAAACAATATTATAATATATTGTATTATTTTAATAGACATAAAATATAATATAAACAGGTAGATTATAAATAAATTAATCATTGCATACCATTATTATGAGAAAACTTTAAAAAAAGAAAATACCTGTTTTATCTGCTTCTGCTTCTCCATGGCGCGTAATAACCAAATAATCAGAGATTTAACAATCACTGTGGATCACTGAATACACATTCTCCAAAAATTTTAGAAAACTTTGCAAATGCTCTAAAGAAATTATTTGCAACATGTTGAGGCTTGACAAAGGCAAGTCAATGCAGTGAAAACTACGGTAGCATCAGAAATAATATTAAATATGTTTATCAACATTATCAGCATTATTTAGTTGATTTAGTCGCTTGCTGATAAAGATTTACTAAGGTTTTTCCCTTCTTCTTTGATAAAGACTGACACCAGGTTCTTAAATCAGAAGCCTATATGGCCAAAATGCAATAACATATAAAAGTAAAATTCAAGGAAATTAATAGGACCCATAAGAGAAGTATCGAGAAAAGACATGCACTGAATAACACTAGTAACCATAGTTGGTGCTTTTCAGCAAGTTTTCTTCTTCCTCTTCTCTTTTCAACTGGTCAAAACTTTAGGCTATGTTCGAAAATACACACTAGTGTACATTAATTATACCAGTCGTTCGGAAAACTCAACAAAGTAGGTCTGTTCTTTTTGGCTGAATTGGTTATATCACTAATTTACAGTTTATCTTTCTTTCTTACACTGGAAGAAGAAAAAATTCTGAAGCTTAGTACAGCCAGTTCAGCTAAAAAGAACAGACCTCTTATAGTATTGGGTATCTGATTGGTCCGCCATGTCTATGTTATTCCCGCTGATTTTCAAATATAAGAATTACATTAATTTTAAATTGTAACACAAGTTTAAGAAAGTAAACGTTTTAAATTTAATAAATATTTTTTGTTATAAAAATTTTTATACCTATTTATGTTACAATGCAAAATTATAGTTATAAAAAAATAATAATAAGTAATATATGTATAATCACAAAATTGTGTTTTATGTATTTTTATGTATATTAATTTATCAAAATTTTATACTTAATTATGACAATTTTATATAATTTAGTTTCAATAAATAAATAAAATAAAATGATGTAACACAAAATAAAAAAGAAAAACAATTCTTTTTGTTTAATATAATGGTTATAAAATACTATTGTATTATTTTTTACAATAATTACTACCATATTCATTGTCATTAATGTATTCTTATAAACAAATTTTGTAATATAATTAGTAAAATCAGGATAAAAAAATAACTTAAAGATATCATAATGTTATCAAAATTATATCAAACCATGTCAAAATAAAGTCATTTAAATATTTAATTTTATTTAGATGTCATTTTGATATTAGTATGATTGTATATAAATGACTATACCAAACACAAAAAACATGTTTCGTCGAATAAGAGAAATATCTCACATATTTAACATTTAATACAATAATTAACAAATATATAAACGAGTAAGTGATAGTATAGTAAGGTACATTTTCATGATGTAATGTTAGACATGTCAAAATTAAATGCTTTACATATGCTTGATATTACATATGCTTGAATTTAATTTATTAAATATTTTTATTATACATAATCTTGATAATGTTTCCTATTATAACAGGAAATGTTATATTTTTAGTAGTGGGCATATCTACATTTAAGTTGAAAATGATAAAAAGAATATTATATTAAATTGTTCATACTTAAGAATTTGCGCTAATATACTTGCTACTATTAGTATAGATTATAATATATAGATTATAATATAAATTATACATTCAACAACCTGCAATAAAAATATATAGCTTTATGACATTATAACAACTGACTACATTATATAATAATAAAGTAGTACTATTGTAGTTACTATTTAAATTAAAAATGAATGAGATTTATGAAGATGGCACATTCGATATTTCAGTTGTAGAACTCTGTGTGTCTGTAGAAGGTGACTCTTGTAATTGTAACCACGGTAATCGCTTCTGCAGTTCTAATCTGTTATAAAATAAATATAAAATAAGTAAAATAAAGATAGAAATGCATCATTAAAATTTATATTAATCTTATAATATATTAATTTGTATAATTATTATAAAGTCAAAAAAGAAACAAATATAGATGACATTAACCAACGAACAGAGTCTTAGACCCTACACACAATGGAAGAAATATTAGAAATAGAAATAAATATTAAATTTTAGAAATAAAATTTGTTTACATTTGTCAATAAAATTAACGCAACAGGTAAATTCATAATGAAATTTTGCAAACTTCAAATAAGCATAACTTCTGCATAACTAACTAAAATTGTCATATATGAAAGAAATAGTTTTTCATTTTCAAAAATAAACTATATACTTTAAGAAGCATTTATTAGATTTTGAACTTATTATCTAACCGTTCCATTTTTTCAAAAGTAAGAATGTCTTACATGTCTGAAAAATTGCATAATTTGACGAACTTTACGAGGTGGAATCAATTTCTTTTGCAAATGTAATGGTAATCATAGTTATTAAAACTGATTTTATCAGTTTGACCTTAGGTCGTCAGGTCATCTAGAGGTTAACTTTGTTTTTTTAAACTTTGTCTTTGGAAATCCCCATTTTTTATTGTATATTCTTATAGCTGATCTCGAGAGTTCTGCAAAACTCTATAATAAAGTATTCTTTTGATGAGTATTTTATGAAGCTTGATTTTGATATGTAATTTGACATAAAATATAAAATAAATTATTTATTTTTTGGCAATTATATCTTAATTCTTTTACAAGATATTTTATACTTTGTCAAATTCAAGTTTCAGAACTCAGAAAGTACTTACTAAAAAAATATTTTATTATATAGTGTTTTGCAGAGCTCTCGAGATCAGCTACAAGAATATGTAATAAAAAATGGAGGTTTTCATTTAAAAAAACAAAGATGACTTTTATATAACGTTGGCAATATTATCCAAGATCAAACTGATAAGACCAATAAATAGATCTTTTGAAACTACAACCCTACCACTTTTATTTGAAATACTTTTTCCTAAAATGTTTATTTTTCGAAATATTTACAAATACTGTCCCGGTGCTTTTATACATCCTATATAACAAAGCCAATTTGTCGTTTATGATATCATCCTGTCTACAGTAATAGATTAATTATCTTAGCATATGAATTGAAATTAAAAATAAAAATAGAATTTTTCGCATTATTTACCTGTATTTTGGATGGCTTATGGCATACACATATGGATCCAAGCAAGCTACAAATTTGCACGTACATGCCGGTATCATTGTGATGCCGGGAGTTAATAAAGACTTATCTCCGAAAGCGCCAATCATCGCAAGAATACCGTACGGAGTCCACGAAAGTACAAAAAGAAAACAAATTGTTATCGCAGCCTGCAAATAAGATATTATATGTCATATTTTTTGTTGGATGTATATGATTTAATGAATATGTTAAAAATTATTGCTTATATGTCTTAAGTAGTAAGGTGTTATTAAAAAAGATATCAATTTAATCACTTTTGATCATTCGACGTTGATTATATACCTAAATAATATATATAAATATGTATATGGAGCAGGAGTTAAAAAAAGATTTTCAAAATTTTCTTAAAAATGTTTTGGAAATTTTGGAAATTCTAATATTCATTACTTTTTTAGAAATAATTATGGTAACAAGTTACTTCTAAAAAATAATTTTCTCAACTATGAACATACTTATACCTATACATTTAATTGTATATTAATTTATATTGTTGCAGGCACGAATGTGAATGCGCGCGCGCATGTGTGTATGTAAAAAGTTCAACAATACCTTGGCTATACGTATTTCCGCACTTTGAGCATTTGCATTAGTATTGCTTCTCAAACTTTCGACATTCATCTTCTTTGCTTGTTCACGAAGAGTTTTTTCATGCTCAATAACATGGCTGACAATATGACTATAATAATATATGATAAGAGTCATTGGGATACAATAAGAGAATGTGAATATTGTAGCCACAAAGTATTGTATTTCTGGTGTATCTGTTAAATAATCAAAAGTGCAGCTTGTCAAGAAACCTTCAGGCACAAACCGACCCCAGACGTGCATCAGTGGCATTAATGCCCAAGGAATCGTATACAACCATATGAGCATGATGAAGAGCATCACTTGACCGCGAGATAACTTCCCATCAAGTGGTCGAGCTATAGTACTAATTTTATAACATTGGATATACACAATTGGATATGAAGATTATGCCTTAATATGTATGTCATTAATATTATATTAATAAAAATTAATAAAAATATTTTTTGAAGAATAAAATTTAATTTAAAAATTTATTTTAATAATTAATAATATTTAAGCTTCAAATTTATGCTATTCAATTATAAAAAAATTCCTAATTTTAATATGTATATTATATGTTGCTCTCAACTGACGAAGCAAAAATCTTTTTCGGTTATATGTTTATTTTCAATTTTCGCAAAAATTAATTTTAACTTCCAAGTAAAATAATACTAAATTTTTTATATATGTTATTATAGGTAATATAATATCGTGTAAATTTAGATAACATAATAATAGTATGTTTCAAAATTTCATTAAATCTAAGAATTTTGTTTATCTTTTTTATATTCTATAAGAACAAATGAAAATATATTGAGTTCAAACTATTACAAGTGCAAAAGATTAATATATGTTTGATGTATTTACTTAGCAAAGTTTCTACAATACCTATATCTGTCATATGCAATAGCAGCATTCGTCATGCTAGCTCCAATTCCACTAAGCGATCCAATAAAGGCAAAAATCTGACATCCTAAATGGCCTGTAGCAAATCCAGTATTGAAGGAATTATATATAAATATAGGCGTTTTTATCATCATGAAGAAATCACAAAATGCCAGATTTACCACAAACAAATTTGAAGGTGTTCTTAATGATTTAGCTCTAAAAAATAAATTAACATTAAAAAGAATAATATGTTAAATTTGTGTTTTTATAAATTATTATAATATATAATATAAAGAATATAAAGAAATGATTACAATTGGATAACTGGAAAGTATGAGAATTACATATTTTATTAATTCTTAAAATATTTTTATTACTTATATACTTTTATATGCTTTATTTACTTATCGTGAATTTTGTGAATTTTTACACTTGTTATTGTTTGAATATTTAAAGGACATTACTATCAAAATATTCAACTACTGTGTGTAGAACTTACGAACAAAATATCCAAATAACCAATCCATTTCCAAGTAACGCTATAAACGTAAAGAGTATGTATATAATGGCCAGCAAATAATGAAGAGAAGGATTGGGTTCGGGATAAATCAACCAATGTTCAGGTATATGGATCAATTCCTCAGGAGGAACGTTCCATCCTAGCAATCGTGGTGGTTCTGCTGATAAAATTCTCGCTTCCCAATGAATACTTTCATTGAACATATTGATTGTCAGTTCTTCGCTTTCACTTTACTTCTCTATATTGCTGCATCTTTATATACTTACATAGTGATTCAAATCCATAAAACCTTAATCTAGTCAAACTTTAATCCAGTTTAAATGGCTTCTGACAAAGATTAGCAGAAGATAATCCTCAATTTGTTGATGGTCAAGATATATATATTGCTATGTTACGTTAAGTATCAAACTCTACACACACGCATGCACACATCTTTGTTAGGGCAGTTTTAAAATCTTGATTGAAATTAAATTATTTTTGAGATCAAGCTCTTGAATTAGAAAAAAATATTCAATAATTTTCATAAAAAATAATTTATTTTGATTATACAGAAGCATTCGTATAATGTACACATCTATAATTAAATTTAAACATATTAAGAAATTATATATCAATTTGTAAAAGAATATTATTTGTACTATAAATAATCAATATATTAATAAGAAAAAAGACTAATTTATTAAAGATATTAATAATTAGTGCCGACGATAATGTATATTGTTATATACATAATATATATTGTTATATTGTTATATAATATTGTGTAGTAATATTGTGTAGTAACAATTTTAGTTTGCAAGAATATATAGAAATTTACTATTTACTATAATATATTTAAAAGATTATATATTATATTTAAAAGATTATAAAAGATTATATTTTTATCATGTTCTGCCTTCTCTCTCGGCAGATTTATCGATCAAAGTATACGCTGGTAAATATGACGTAGGATTGTTAGGATCCTTTAATAATGGATTTCGTGTTGTAGTATTTTTATTACCGATACTTGTATATCCTTGATCGTAAAGTGAGCAATACGCAATATTGTGTTTCAATAAAAATGTCCATACTTGATTATATGACCAATGAAGGATAGGATTCACACGCATCAGCTGTGGCCAATCCGGATCGGTGGGTGTAAATGCTTGTAGATTTTCGGAACCTGGATCACCTCTTCTTATACCCATGATACTTGCTTTCAAATTATGATTTTCTTTCAATAATGCAGATAATGCAGATCGCATCGGTTGTTGCATTCGTATTATTTTTAAACCATAATATTGAGCAGCTGATTCCACAAACGTTTCCACCTACATGTAAAATATTAATAAATGCATATGGACTTTATTTAAAAAAAAGATCAAAATTTATAAAGAATAAATAATTTTGTTGTGTATAATATTTTACGCAACATAAAAATTTTACTAAGTTGAATAAAGTTGAAAATTAGTAGTTTATCTCTGATATGGACACTTTTTTATGAAATTATCTTTTTGCATATGAAACATTTTCTAATTTTTTTTTACAGAAATAAAAACAAAAGGCATAAATTAACGTTTTTTTCACTTTTCTTTTTAATATAAATTTCAAATGTTTTTTTTTTTTCAAAAAGTCTTGAAATGTTGTTAGAATATATTTTAATAAAATTTTAATTCTTAAGAAAATATTTTTAAAATATTTTTAGAATATTTTTAGATAAGTGTATTGTCTAAATATCAAGAATACGATCCTTATGAATAACTTCAACTTTATTCATGTGCTAACTTAAAGTGTTCATTTGTTAACATTAAATTGTTTTCATAACAGAGAGCAGTAAGTGACATCACTCGGCAGGCAAGATCTTAGATGCATAATTTCTCTTTTTTTATTTATATATATAAATTAAAATAACAAAATAATAAATGGCAATTTTTAAATAATTACTTATATCATCACATACTGTATTTTTTAAATAGACTTGCAATGTTAAATTGATAAAGACATAGACAGTCACGAAGTTTGAACTCTGATTAAAATGATATTTTTTGCAATAAGAATTTTTCCTGAAGAAAGGGAGTGATATTTGATTATCGATTTATTGAAAAGGAAAAATTAGTCCATACGATCTTGAACTGCTACATTGTACGGCCATTAAAAAAATAACGGCACATAAATATCGCGATATATAAACAGTTATCCTGAATTTATATAATTAAAAAAAAAGAAATTATAAACGCTTAAAATCCTGTCCGCCAAGTGCCATATATTGTTTTTGTTATTTGAACTTATTCTCAGATTATTATATTGATTTGTTTTTAAATTGTTATTTAAAAATTATTATGCAAATGCAATTTTACAAGAAAAAAATTATTTTGGCATAAAAATGGCATCTTTTTGAGCACTTTACATAAACATCTGCATATATGCATATATTCTTGTTATATATTTTAATAGTCGTGATTCTTACCTCCAGAAAGGAATCGTCAGTTATATATAAACATAATAAAGATGAAATGTTACGCAATTTAGCAATAGTTGCAGCTAAGTGCAAGACTACTGTGCAATCTTTCCCACCATTGAAACTTATAAAAATTTCATCTGGACTATATCTATAAAAAAAGTATATATATTATCCATAACAATATATATATATATATATATATATATATATATATATATATATATATTA